GGCTTCCCCGGTGGCGCAGTGGTTAAGAGTCTGCCTACCGATGCAGGGGCCGCGGGTTCGTGCCCTGGTCCGGGAAGATCCCACATGCCGCGGAGCGGCTGAGCCTGCGCGTCTGGAGCCTGTGCTCCGCAACAGGAGAGACCACAACAGTGAGAGGCCCGCATACCGCAAAAAAAAACAAACAAACAAAACTGAATGAGAATCTTAGATCCTCAAAGTTTTTGTACATAATCTATATAATTGCATGTAATGGAATCTTCCCTTGATCTTATATAAATGTCAGAAGGATAAATGAAAATAGTATGTTAGTAATCCTTAAAGAGTCATTAGGCATGAAAATAAATTATGCTCATTTCATTAAAATACAAGCTTTCAACTGGTCACTCTTCCCTAGCTATACTTCTCAAGTTCTTATCAATACTATCTCTGTTCTGATTTGATTATCCTTGCTGGTTGTACACAACCTTTAACTGTTGATCCACGTTAAGCAAACTTATTTTGGTGACACCAGGGATCACATGTTGCATTTACTGAGTATAAAGCCATTAACAAGTATGAATATTCTCGAATAACACTGTTATAAGTAAAAGCACACATAACATTTATTGAACACTATTTGTAAGGGACAATGCTAGTCTCACATTTAATCCATTGAACAACTAAGGAGGAACTGGATTTGATTATTCTGTATCAGAGTAAGCTGATGAACATGTGGTGAAATGGTCAAACAGTGTCATCCATCAGAGGGTATTAAGGCAAGTGACAAAGGAGAGAAATCTAATCTATACCTGAGAAGTCAAACAGGAGCAGTGGTAGGAGTTACCACATTCTAGCCTGAGAACTGGATTCCTGGGGCCAACCAGCAGTTCGTAACAGAGCTGGGTTGAAGTGAGATGAGGTTTGCTGAGAGAACCAGCAGAAGGAGATAGGTAAAGATATTAAGCAAGATGAAGAAAGACAGTTTAACTTTTTTAGCATATTATTTGGTTTTTAAGTGAAAAACAGATTTGACCAACATGGCTTTTTAAAAAAATTAGATATCTATCAGAGTAGGCTCTTCTTTAGAAAAAGTTATTATTTCTCCAGAATCAAAAACATAATCTGGAAATGATTCAGCTTTGGGTAAAATCTGGCTAGTCTTAACAAACATTCCTAGAGACTTTACATCACTGTGAAAAATTAGGTCCTAGTTCTGAAGGACTTTTCATTCGGAAGTTCATGGCTCATGTTAATGAGAATATGCACATATATTTATGTGCTGTATATATTATAAGTATTTGAGGACTTCCCTGGTGGCACAGTGGTTAAGAATCGCCTGCCGGGGGACACGGGTTTGATCCCTGGTCTGGGAAGATCCCACATGCCGTGGAGCAACTAACCCCATGTGCCACAACTACTGAGCCCTCATGCCACAGCTACTGAAGCCTGCATACCTAGAGCCTGTGCTCCGCAACGAGAAGCCACCGCAATGAGAAGCACGCCCACCGCAATGAAGAGTAGCCCCCGCTCGCTACAACTAAAGAAAGCCCACATGCAGCAACAAATACCCAACGCAGCCAAAAATAAATAAAATAAATAAATTTATTTTTAAAAAAGTATTTGAGAAGGTGATTTAGGACTCTCAATTATAAATTTTCAGGGCAGGAATCTTGCTTATTTTGCTGCTAAGCAAGGTGAATAGGCTGACAACAGTGGCATGAAAAAGCCTTTTACTTGCTAAATCATCAGTCTAAAGGAGATAAACAGGTTAAGTTTGTTCTCCCAATACCCAGAAGCAAAATTTTCACTCAGTTATTACAACATTACCACAAGCCTGTGGATTCTGCAAAAGTTGCCTAGCAACATTACAGTTAGAAACAACACAGGGTAGGGAAAGAACAGGAAATTTGAATTAGATATGCCCTGGGGCAGGTGGGCGTAACCCGTACAGTGAGTGCTGTACTCTGAGGAGCATGAAATTTTAAAAATCGGAACAATCATTTAGAATTTCAGTTAGGACATTGCTGCCGTTAAACCATAACGCTGTGCTTGTTCTCAGCTGGAGGAGGCAGGGCCTGGGTTTCTTACTCATTTTGGCACTTTTGTTTTAAAGAACACTACATTTTAATTATTCCAGAAACATTTATTAAGAACCTTCTTTGGGGCCAAGGCACATTGCTGGCTGCTGGAGCTCTAAAGACGAATAAAACTCGATCTCAGCGCTGGGTGGGAGAGAAGCCAGACATGTAAACAAAGAGTGTTACATAGTCCATGCCGGGTGCAGTGGAAAGTCTGGAGCCGGGAATATCTATTTTACATGGAAGTGGCGAAAGTCAAATGGTTCTTGCTCTGATTACTGCTTTTAACAATACTTTAAAAAAAAATTCCTTCTTTCCCCCAGTAATTTTATACGTTTGTTGGGAATTTACCTTTCCTATTCTGTGTGAGGACCTGGGTGTGAACCAAGAACTCTTCCCTTCCCATCCGGAACCAGGCCCCTTTGCCCCAGCCAATTTCAAGAACCTCCTAGTTCAGGGAAGCAGAGAGGTGGAAAAGTTAAGAGGTGACAAAACCCCAAAAATGTTAGAAGCTTGTTTACCTCCAGGAAGGGGACTTGGGCTGGGGGTTGCAGGGGTAAGTCGGAGACTTCTATACCATTTGAATTAATAATATAGAGAGAAAAATAAACCAATCAACAAATATTTTAAGTAAGGGCTCTATTATTCACTCAGAAGATATTGAGCACCTAAATCACATCAGAATACTGCAATAAACAAATGGAAAATGTCCCTATACTCAAGGACCTCATTTTCTAGAAGGGAATAGGAGTAAACAATCAACACACTTTGAAATAGATATAAGCCTGTAAAGGAAATAAAGCAGGGTGTTGTGAAAGAGTGGCGGGGGGCGGCAGCGTGAGCTTGCATGCGTAACGATAGAGGATATAGGATTCCTATATAGGAGAGGCTTAGGGGCAAAAACCTCTCTCTGGAGAGGTGTTTACTCGGCTTTAAAGTTTCTGTTTACCTAGGAAGCACACTATTTTTACCTACAACTCATGTTACAGATCAATAAAGAGTAGAAGTTTTCTAAAGTTATTTCTATTTACAGTTCACATGAAATTGAGAAAATGTTAACTATCCATATCAAAGAATTTATATTTCTCACTAGGAGAGAAGTGTTAGAGGGAGGGTGCTGAAAACCACCCCTTGGCTTTGGCCACGGATTATCAGAGAACACCTCTCTCTGATATATACAAAAGGGTTAAGTTCCAGTCTTCTGAGAGCTTAAAATTAAGTCTGGACTAACACACAAAAAAGACACATTTATACATCAGTTAGCAAATATTTGGAGAAGACGACTGTTTACCCTTCACTGCTTCTTCAGTTATGTGATCTCAGGGAATTTCCCATGTGTTTCCATTGTTAAAAACCACCTTGAGTTCAACCTTTGAAAAGTGTTAGAACAACATATATGGTCGGGTGTTAATATCCATAAAGTGCCACAATAAGAAAAACAGACAAGAGAGATAAATGCAAATGGCCATTAAGCCCATGAAAACTGTCCAGTGACATGAATCAAAACAAAACTACATCTACAAACATTAAGTACCCACTGATGTCCAGAATTCACCAACGGTGTACTCTAAACCACCAATTGTGAGAACGTAAATTTTTTTCTCTGGAAGGCAGTTTGACAGTTTATATATACTTTGAGCCAGTAATTCTCACTTCTGTGAATGTATCCTAAAGAATAAAAAACAAAACACAGAGGAAAAACAACACGAGAAGGAACAATATTCATTACGGGGTTATTCACAACTGAAAAATTGTCAGAAGCTTCTATGTGCGACAGTAAGAGACGGATTAAATCACAATTTGACGTAGTACTAGAGAAATTTTTTCTCAGGTTGCTTTGAAATTTGCAGCGAGCTGAGCCAATCTGTTTTGCCAACACTTGCCCACGTGCTGGCAAACAAATATAAACACCGTGGCCGCGTGGTGGGCACTTGGTTTTGTGCTTAGGGCCCAGTGTGGTGCTGCTTTATTTACTGTGGGCAAGTGGGGGGCGGGCGGTGGAGAGGGGGGACGGCAGAGGGGACTATGGCCTGCGGGCGCTCCCCTCGCGGCGGACACACCGGCCCCTAACAGACTCTCTGGGGGAAAACTGAGGCTCAGAGGTCGCCCCGCATCCAGTGACCTCGCCTCGAGAACTCGAGCGTCCGTCTTCCGGCTGACTTCGGTATCGGCCTAACCCATTTGCACACGGTCGCAAGGGTCCAGAGGCCGGAGGCACCATTCCCGATTCAAACCTCGACCCTGCAACCAGACTCCCCACAGCCACGCCCACTGAGCCCCAGGGCCCGGCACCAAAGGGATGCGGGACAGGAGGTCGGTCTCCCTGGGCAGCGCCCAAGGGCCACGGCGGTCCCCCTCTCCCAGCGACCCGCAGGGACCCCGAGGGCTACCCCGTCGCAAGTCCCGCTCCTGACTCCGGGGAGCCGGAGGGGCGGCGAGGAAGTCGTGTCCAGGCCAGCGCTCGGCTCGGCCTAGTCCAGTCCGTACCCTTCGCTCCTCCCACTGGGCTGCCTCTGCTCCCCGGCCCGGCCCTGTCCGGGCGGCGGCGGACCCAGCTCCCAGCCATCCAGCTCGCTCATAGGACCGCGGCACTGCGCCCGCCCAGGCCTGGATCCGCGCGGAGCGGGGGGCGGGGCGGGGGCGTGGGGGGCGGAGCCAGCAGGTTCGCGCCAAAATCGCGTAGTTGATCCCTCCCCAGCGGGCTGAGTCGCGCCCTCCTTTTTTTTCAAACCCCGGGCTGGGCGGGGATTGGTGGACTGGGCACTCACGTGGTTAACGGTCGCGGGAAGCCGCGGAGCCCGAACTTGCTGCTGGACCTGCGGAGACCCCAGCCTCGGCGCCCGGGCCCCCCCCGCCTCTGCAGAAGAGTCCGCGCCGCCGCCGCCGCCGCCGCCCCCGCCGGCCGCCGCCCCGAGAGTCCCGGAGCCGCCGCGCAGGCCCGCCGCCGCGGCCACCAGGCGCGCCCAGTCGCACGTGGCGGACCCGCCCCCTGGGCCGGCCGTGCCCTGGACTCCGCGGGCCCAGGTTCTCCGGCCCTCCGCCCCGGCCCCGTGGGCGCGATGAGCTTCCTGAGCCGGCAGCAGCCGCCGCCGCCCCTCCGCGCCGGGGCCTCGTGCACCTTGCGCCAGAAGCTGATCTTCTCGCCCAGCAGCGACTGTGAGGAGGAGGAGGAGGAAGAGGAGGAGGAAGGCAGTGGCCACAGCACCGGGGAGGACTCGGCCTTTCAGGAGCCTGACTCGCCGCTACCGCCCGCGCGGAGCCCCACAGAGCCCGGGCCCGAGCGCCGCCGCTCACCCGGCCCGGCCCCCGGCAGCCCCGGAGAGCTGGAGGAGGACATGCTGCTGCGGGGCGCCTGCCCAGGCGCGGACGCGGCGGGCGGCGGGGCCGAGGGCGACTCGTGGGAGGAAGAGGGCTTCGGCTCCTCGTCGCCGGTCAAGTCGCCTGCAGCCGCTTACTTTCTGGGCAGCTCGTTCTCGCCTGTGCGCTGCGGCGGCCCGGGGGATGCGTCCCCGCGGGGCTGCGGAGCGCGCGGGGCTGGCGAGGGCCCCTGCTCGCCGCTGCCCGACCACCCGGGCACCCCGCCCCACAAGACCTTCCGCAAGCTGCGGCTCTTCGACACGCCGCACACCCCCAAGGTGAGAGGACGCAGCTGCTGGGGCGCCCCGAGCCCGCGCCGGCCTAGCCTTTTAAAAAGGCAGTGGCGCCGGGAGCCGAGCGCGGCGCTGCCCGGGTTCGGTTACATAACCGCCGGGCCGCACCCGCGCTCGCTCTTCTGCGCCGCAACAAAAAAGTTGGCAGCCCCTCTTTTGGGCCCTGCCCAGAAGTTGTCCGTTAAGATTATGTAACTGAACAATGGGCCTCGTCTGGAACTTCATCTTTCAAGGGGGCTGATCGGCGCAGTCCAGGTGGCTGACGATTTAACGCCCGCCGAGTCGGGGCCTCCCCGAGCGTGGCAGCGGGGAGTGTGGCACCGATAACGTGGTTTGGAATGATGCTCGAGTGGTCCTGGCCCGACCACCTGACACTCCCGAGCGCCGCAGCCATCAGGTGGCTTTTAAACGCAGTGTTCTGTCCTGTAATTTGGGCGGCGCACGCAGGAGTTCGGTTAAAAAAAAAAATTCATGCGCTTATCGTTTCGTATCAGGTGGCCTTATGGGGGAAAGTTTGAGATACGGAGGGAGACTGCGCTTCGACTTGGGAGAAAAGGCTGGCCTTCAAGCATTTACAGTCTTAAAAAGATTCGTAAATAACTAAGGGGTAGCGTTTAAGCCTCTTTCCGGACAGAATATTTATTGGGTAAGCGTTTGTTTACACCCTTGGGTTTGCAGTTCCCAAGTTTGGTCAGCCTAAGTGTCAGGGTTAGGAACGTCCAACTGTTAAAAACCAGCATTGGTGTTGTTGCCTGGACCCTCAGGCTTTCATATACCGTTAATAAGGTATCTTAAAGAAGTAGGTGTTCAGCACCTGTTTGCTGAATGGCTAGTGAGTAAGCAGATGACCACTTCTAGAACTTTAGAAGTAACACAAGATTTTAAAACGAACACTTCCCGAAATTAAGACAGGTGCCACATTTATAAGATTAATGCAGGAAATGCACCTTTTTAAGTGAGTCAGTTTCAGTACCGTTACTAGTCATAAACCTCAGGAAGATGTGTGCTTTTGTGCTCTACTGTTTGCTAGCCGACTTGCCCACGGCAAGATCCCTCTGGAAGTGAGGGGAGGAGTCCTACGGAGGAGGCTTTCAAAGCCCTACTTGGATGGGGGAGGGGAGCTTTTATGGGGCTCCCTGACTGCTTTCCACTTTTAGATGGATTGAAAGGTTTTGTTAACTTTTATCCTCTAGAATGAACTTAATTTTAGTATGCATTTATATTCTTTTTAGGGTTAGAGACCTTATTTTACTTGGCCTTTTCAGAAAAGGTGGTTAGTATCCAGCTTCAGGCTCCTAAGTTAACCACTGTTTATTTTGCTTGAAAGATAACAAAGGCTTGTGTGTTGCTTTGACCTACACATTCAGCCTCCTGAAAGCCTTGTTGAAAGTTAGGTTGAGAAGGCCAGCTATAGCACTTGGATCCTAAACATTTTTTTCCCCCTCCTAGAGTTTGCTCTCCAAAGCTCGAGGAATCGATTCCAGTTCTGTTAAACTCCGAGGTGGTTCTCTATTCATGGATACAGAAAAGTCAGGAAAAAGGGAATTTGACATACGACAGACTCCTCAAGTGAATATTAATCCTTTTACTCCAGATTCTGTGTTACTTCATTCCTCAGGACAGTGTCGTAGAAGAAAGAGAACATACTGGAATGAGTAAGTTATTTATTATTCAACAGTGTGGTTCCCCAACCACCCAAGATTGGTTTGGTATACTTATTAAAGTTTAGTTTCAACTGAATGACATGGAAGTTTATGCACTGAGAATTTTCTCCATTATTAGCAGTTCTCAGTAATCACCTGTGGAAAAGAGTGGTATGGGAAAGGAAAGAATAAAGAGCCTAGATAGTAGGAAATCTGCTGGTGTCAAAATGAGACAGGCAGAGAAGGTTGATTTCCAAAGGCTTTAATTTTTATATGTGTGGTGGTGTTGGTGTATCTAAGCAAGAACAACATTTCCGTCAGTTGAGCTGTATCTTGTCATTACAAAATTAAATGCTTTCTTTTCTGTTTTCATTCATTAAATTTTCATTTTGTTATATACCTGTCAGACAAAGTTTTGGATCTCTAGTTGATGTATCTGTCAGATATGTTGACGGAAAAAATAATATTTTTCAGTTCCTGTGGTGAAGACATGGAAGCCAGTGATTATGAGTTTGAAGATGAAACAAGACCTGCTAAAGTAAATAGATTTTGATTTTATTGTTTTTGAAATTTGATTTTCTACGTCTTAACAAGCTACCACATATACATGTTAAATAAGCCACATATGCAGGGTACCATATATGTATGTTAAAACATAAGGTATAATTTTTAGGGAGGAGTCAAGATGGTGGAATAGGAGGATGTGGAATTTGTCACTCCTCACAAGTTCATCAAAAACACATCTACAAATGGAACAATTCCCACAGAGCACCTGCAAAACATAAGATATAATTTTAAAATTTCACACATAGTGCTATCACCATAGTGAAAAAATCATTTTCATACCTTTGTATTTTATATATATATATATATATATGGATACACTTTTTATTACAGAGAATTACAATTACTGAAAGCAATATGAAGTCACGGTATACAACAGAATTTCATGAGCTAGAGAAGATTGGCTCTGGAGAATTTGGTTCTGTGTTTAAATGTGTGAAGAGACTGGATGGATGCATTTATGCCATAAAGCGATCAAAAAAGCCATTGGCTGGCTCTGTTGATGAGTATGTATTAAAGATTTTGTCTTCTTCTCTTTCGTTCAGTATGATGTTACAAATGTTAAGGTTTTAGGTGGTCAATCATTGAATTTAATTCTCTAACGTTTGAGAAGTTGTAATGATTTAATCAGATCCATTTCATTTTGTGCCATTAGTTCTTACTGGACTTGGAAGAATAATATAAGGGGTCTGATCTTGGAGCCTAACTTAAATTTCTTATTTCTAGTAGCATCCATGAATTCATAGTAAAGTGGAGTTTCATCTTTTCTGAATTCTAGGGCCAGCTAGCTTCCTTCTTTCTAACATTCTTTAATGGAAGTCTTTGGAAAAATCTGGTACAGAGTTTTAACTCCCTCTCTTTCAAGCAAGTTGTCCTTCAGCATAATGATAGATCCAGAAGTCAAGATTCTTTTATGAACTTTCAGATAAATTAACTCATTTCAGGCTTGAATAAAAATGATTTACCATTCTCTTAATCTCAAACTTCTAGGCAGAACGCTTTGAGAGAAGTATATGCTCATGCAGTGCTTGGACAACATTCTCATGTAGTTCGATATTTCTCTGCATGGGCAGAAGATGACCATATGCTTATACAGAATGAATATTGTAATGGTGAGTAATATAATGGTTCCCTTGTAAACTCATAAGCTCAAGAAAATGAACACCAAGGAGATACTTCTTTTTATCTAAGGTCTTGCTCTAATTCTATATATCTTTTATCTCTTGTAAATTCAAAGATCGGAAGCCTGATCTTTGAATTTCAACATGAATTTCAAGTGCAAGTAATTCTTACGTGGAAGTTAGTATTGAAAACCTTGTTCTTGCGTGCATATTATTTGTATGCCTGTTACTCATATTAAACTGATTTTCTTGAGAGGACAGCAGCCTTGCCATATATATTTTGGTATCCCTAGCACTTAGCATAGTGTGTGTGGGGGATATAGTAGTTAATAATCCAGGCTCCCTGCATCTAGCCTTCCCTTTCCATTTCATTTTATGTGCTGCTAAAACTGATATTGGTTACTCATAAAATGACAGTGACTCAAAAAAAAAAAAAAAAATGACAGTGACTCTCCATTGATATAAATTTAGCCATTTGTTGAATCTTGCTCCCCCTTCCATCTATCCAACCTAGTTTACCACTAGAATCCACTGAGATGTTTCTGTAAAGTAAGAGTTATGCTCTTTTAGTTCCCTAGTTGTGCCTCCCTCCCTCCTTCCCCCGCTAAAACAAGCATTTATAGAGGTTTAACTTTGGACCTTTGTATAGCTTTGAATTTCATCAGGTCCTTCAGCAATCAACGTGTGTCCTTCCTTTTTTATTAAAGCTTTACCAGAGTCCCGGCCTCACTTCTGATTCTTACAGACAGCTGTTATTAAATACCTAAATCTTTATATATGATGGATTTTTATTTCTGTATATCTTCAGTGAATATTAGAGAATTTAGAATTTAATGAACAGTCGAGTAGCAAAGATTATTTTTGTTGATTCTCATTTTTTCTTAAGACCAGCCATTTCATAGCTTGTGAATAAGTGTTATAGGTAGTAGATTCAGGTTTTCTGTATTTGAAAACAAAACAGAAGTAAAAGGCTCATTTCTCATACCTGACTTCTCATTGAGTTGTCATTTTAATCTCCACCCTTGAAAGAGTAAGTGCTCAGTGTACAGCATTGCTGCTATTTTGTTTCACACATCTCGAAATGTTTCTCTTCATACCATCAAAACATTTTTGAAGCTATCGCCCATGGCCCTGTGTTTCTTAACCTCCATTTTTTAGTAACTGCATTTAATAATAGTACAACTTTACCATAATACCTTCTCCCCTCCATATTTGCTAGATGCCGTCTCCTTTTAGTTTCTATCTGCCTCTCACCTTGTTGGATGTGCCTGGCTCTCTTATTTCAGCCACAGTCCAGATACATGGTTGTGTCATTCAGATGATTTTGAGAAAACTCTTGGGCCTGGGAGTTGGGAGGGAATGAGCCATCTTGCTAACCCTCTCAGATTACAGAGACCTTGTCCTGTAATAAAGTTAGATTATAAAATAATCTTTTGAAATAGTTTATTATTTTGGAGCATTGTAAAACACTTAAGGAATATGGATCTTTAAAAAACAAATAGACCTCTGTAAAATAGGACTGCCTCTTTGTATGGTTGTTTATTTTGCTTAGATGAAAGACAGTGAGGCTATCTAGATACATTTGTGAGCTCTTCTTTTGTTTCCCATTTCCACCATTCTCTCCACATAAACCCTTGAATGTCCTAATAGGCCTGGTCTTTAGATCCTTTTCTACAGTTTCACAGGGAAGGATTCATTTATCATTCATTTGTTGTGTTGATTAACTGATATCCTTTATCTTAACTGAATTTCCTTATTGTCTCAAACATCGTTTGCATTTTGAGCCTTTTTTCTTGGTTTGGTGATAGACTGAATTTCTACTCTTGATAAACAGGTGTAGAAAAATGTTGATAGATAGGGGAGGAGAACCTGAAATATCAGATCAATAGTTTGCTTTTCTCACCTCTTGCCCTTTCAGCAACAAGATAGAAGGAACTGGCCTAGCTGTAGTTGCTAGACCCACTAAAAAGCAGCCATGTTATTTCTTGGTAAACTTGATCTAGGACTCCAAGCTCACCTGTCTGACAGGCTTCTTGACCTGCTCCCTCCTAGACCCCTCTTCTTCCTGCAGTTCAAGATTTGTTCAAGTTAAGTTCAGAAAACATACTTAATCCTAAGCTCTCCAGGTGTGTGATTTATTTATTTTTTTTAAACACATTTGACGTTTTGTTACTCAGTCTTGTTCAAATTATAGGACCTCCTTTTCTGAGTAGTATATCATTGACCTAGATTTTATTACCTTGGTTCTGATTTTATTATTCCCAACTAAGCTTTAAACGGAAGTGGTTTATTTATTTATTTATTTATTACAATAACTCCTCGTTTCCTCTGAGACAGAATATAAACAAAGTTTTTAAGTATAAACTTAAAGTTTTTTAAAGTATAAACAAATTAGCTAATTGGTTTGACTGATTCTATAAAAGTAGGTTATGTTCTTATTCATAGTAAGGGTAGTATAAATTAAAACGATACTAAGATACTGTTTTTTACTTACAAAATTTTTAGACTCTGTTGTTAAGTGTGTGGGAAAACAGGTATTCTCACACATTAAACATGGGTGTATGAATTGGTACAGCCTTCTCTAAGGGGCACTCTATGTGTGTGTGTTATTGCCCCAGATTTATCTTCCAAATCCCCAGATTTACATAAGCTTATGCTAGCAGAATTTAAGTATTAGCCATTTTGAAATCAGAAACTGAGTGTACTGTTATTTTATGTGAGCTTTCAGAGGCAATCAGATCTTGGCACTGATGGTGTGAATACCAACTCTAAGCTCTTTTGCCGGATAAACAGAAATGGTCCTCTCAGCTACAGAAATGTATTCTATATGTAATAAAACACTGTTTCCCACACACACTATGCATGTGTATATTACATTGTACATACCCTTTGACCCAGCAGTTTGTTTGTAGGAGATATACTAAATATGTGTGAAATGACCAATGTACGAAGTTATTCCTGCGACCACAGTATGTAGTATTAAAGGCTGGGAAATTATTTCTAAATGTCCATCAATTAGGGGATTGGTTAGTGTATTACCATTCAATTATACAGTGGAATTCTGTAGACAAAAGAAAGAAAGGGGTAGTTTTGTATATTGGTAGAGAATGATCTTCAAGATAAAGAAAATATGTTTTCGCTTGTGTAAAAAGGAGTTGAAAAGAATACGTAAGAAACTGATAACATTGATTTACTCTGGGAAAGAGAACCAGGTGCATTGCTGAAGTATGTATTCATAAGACAGAGACTTTACATTGTACTTTGTACCCATGTGAGTGTATTACCTACTGAAAGAATAAATAAAATTTGGATTTCACAAACAGGTTGAAGAGAATAGGTCCTATATAAAATGTCACTTTCTTGGTTGTGTGTGGTCATACAGTAAAGATGGAAGAAAAATAATATTTCAGGAAGAAGAAGATTCTAATTTTTCTTGTGTTTGTTAGGTGGAAGTTTAGCTGATGCCATAAGTGAAAATTACAGAAGCATGAGTTACTTTACAGAAGCAGAGTTGAAGGATCTCCTTTTGCAAGTTGGCCGGGGCTTGAGGTATATTCATTCAATGTCTTTGGTTCACATGGATATAAAACCTAGTAAGTATTATAGATCCTCTGACCTGTGTTCTTTAGGGTTATAGAGAATAAATGACTTCATTAAAATAATATGGGAACATAAACATCTTACTTTTTTTTTTCATTGTTAGTTTTAAAAGATTTTTGACCCACTTATTAGTATTGTTTTATTTCCCATCACCTCTTCCCTTGTTATCCCAAATTTGAAATAACAAACTCACTTTTACTAAAAGTTAAAAATGTGCTGCATCTTATGGGAACCATGTAGTCTCGGAGTGGGACTTTGGGGAGACTAAAAGAACCTGTGTTTAAAGCCCGTCTCTTGTACTAGGCTATAGACCCATAATTTTAAATTAATGCTGGTGCCACTAACATGGTTATTAGAATAAAATGATAAATTTGAAAACATAGGTGCTACAAACCTGGAGGCATTTCTAGTCTGTAAAAGAAATAATAAAATTGTCACTGTATGACCCAGAAAACAAAATGATAGATGTATTGTGATTATAAATGTATTTAAAATGTTGCAGATAAATAAGCACTGGAGAGTTTAGGAACATAGTGGTTTTATTTTTTTTCTCTTTACCATTAGATCATTTTCAGCTAAAAATTGATTTTTATATATAAATGGCTCTAGTAGATCGACCATACTATGGCTCAGAACAACCTCATAGTATTCTTTCAAAGGCTTATGAGGTTTCAAACTGAAGATGCAGCAGTACGAATCAAGGTGTAGGCCTACATAATTTTATGTTAAACTGAAACAAAATTGTATTACAGAAGTAGTAATTAGTACATTGTAGAATATTTTAAAATATAGACAAGCTGGACAAAAAAAAAATTAAATCCCCATTCTTCTATTAATCTTTGGAACTACAGTTACAATATCAGTGCTACTAACAGGGTTATTAGAATAAACTGAGCTGTGAAGATGCTTTGAAAACTTATGTGCTGTACAAACATGGTGGTATTTCTAGCCTGTAAAATGCCATCAAAATGTTACTGTTTTATTCAGAAAACAAAATGGTACATGCGTTTAGATTATCTTGCATTAAAAAAAGTATGCAGGGCTTTCCTGGTGGCGCAGCGATTGAGAGTCCGCCTGCCGATGCAGGGGACACAGGTTCGTGCCCCGGTCCGGGAAGATCCCACATGCCGCGGAGCGGCTCTGCCTGTGAGCCATGGCCGCTGAGCCTGCACGTCTGGAGCCTGTGCTCCGCAA